GACCGGGGGGTTTGGTTTCTTCTTTTACCCGATCTTCATGTACTGTGGCACAGCTCTGCTCTTCCCACTCAGTTTGATGTCAAACACGGCCGTCTCAGCAGCCACACGGGGCTGCAACCTCACATAGAGCCTCTTCTTACGGGACGCACCGGAACCTGGGGGACGAAACAGGAGCCCACAAATGAGGACGGAGCACCGCCAAACCCCACAGCTTCCTCCCAAAGGCACTTACGAGGCTCCGGGAACTCGGGGGCGCGGCTGTAGCCCGTGGGCTGCGGACTTCGGTCGCTCAGCACCACGACATCGGTCACCACAGAGCCAGCCGAGCCCTGCGGGGGCCCAGAGCTCAGGAGGGGCCGCGGGATCGGGCCCAGAGCACAGGAGGGACCCCTGGATCCGCCCTACCGCCCGATTTTGCCCCATTTTCACCGTACCGGAGCCGCGGTGCTCACACACAGGTACCCGCCCTTGTGCCCGAAGCCTTTGCCCAGGTTGGCCGCGCTGCCCTCGACGCTGGTGGTGATCTGTGGGGTGCGCACAGGGTGAGGGCCGGGCCGCATCGGAGCCTCCCCTCGAATTGCGGCCTCACCCTCGTCTTGCAGCCTCCCGTCGGGCCGCGGCTTCCCATCGTACCACGCTCCAGCCCGCTGGAGCCGCCTCGGGTCCCGCCGCCCAGCCCACACCGCTCAGCGGAGCAGCTTCCTCCTCCGCCGCCGCCATCATGGCCGCCTCCTCGCTGAGGTAAAAAGGGGCGGAGCGTCACCGCGGCGCTCCTCGTTCTGCTACTGGCTGGCGCTGAGCGCGGAACGAAATGATTGGAGGCGGTGTTTCGAGCGACGCGCGGAGCGACCAACGAGAAGCGTTGCGTTGAACGCCCTCCCCCAAAGCTTTCAAACGCGGAAGCGGGAAGCAAGCGGAGACGGCGCGCATGCGCAGTTCGCCCACTCGGGGCCGTTTATTGGGAGCGCCGCACCCGCAGCGCCGCATTCAGCTCCGTTCAGCCCTCCGGCGGTGCTTTCCGGCCCGGGGCTGCGATCAGCTTCCGCACCGGTGAGTTTTCCAGCTGGCGGAAGGTCCGTGCGGCTGCAGGAGATGGGCACAGAGAGCTGAGTCACTTCTAATGGGACGCAGCATCAACCAGGCACGGACACGATGTCACCTCCCATAGGGACGCGATGTCACCCTCCCCACTGAGACACAGCATCACTCCATGGGGACGCTGTGACCCACACAGGGACACAACATCACCCCTGTGAGGACAAAGTGTCCGCACCCCCTCAAGGGACACAGTGTCACCCACACAAGGACACAATGCCACCCCCCATAGGGACATGGCCTCACTCACCCCAGGGACAGTGTCACCCCCCATAGGGACACAGCATCACCCACACAGGGGCACAACGTCACCCCCCATGGGGACAAAGCGTCACCCATACAGGGTCCCACACAAGGACACAATGTCACCCCCCCTTGGGACATGGTGTCACCCCAGGGACACAGCATCACCCCATGGGGACGCAATGCCACCCCCAAAGGGACACAGCATCATCCCCCATTGGGACACGTTACCCTCACAGGGACACAACGTCACCCCCCATGCGGACAAAGGGTCACCCCCCTCTTCACCCCCCCCCAGGGACACAATGCCACCCACAAAGGGACACAGTGTCACCCCCCATAGGGACACAATGTCACCCCCGCCATCCAGAGGCACAGTCACTCCGCACTGGGACACAGCATCACCCACACAGGGACACAACATCACCCCCCATGGGGACACCCCCCCTCCTCACGCCCCCCCCGGGACACAATGCCACCCCCATAGGGACACAGTGTCACCCCCCCATGGGGACACACTGGGGGGGGCCCTGAGCTCACCCAGCTGCTCAGACAGCCCCCGCAGGTACTCCCTGCTGTCCTCACTGAAAGCCCGCACCAATTTCGCCGCCTGCTGCATTTCATCGAGCTGTAAAATAGCAATAATTAAGAAAAAGCACCGTTAATTATTCACGCCGTTAATCGCCAAGGGGAAAAGCAGAGAGATGCATTAAGTGCAAGGTGTTTATTAAGAGGATGAAACAGAGCCTGTGGTAGGGAGAAGCTGGCAACGTTCCTGGGGCCGATCCTTCTGCTTCAGGATGTCTGACATCACCCAGTAAAACCCACCCCAATTACCATCATTAATTAAAGGGCAAACTTTTCTCGCTCCGAACGAACCCACGCTTTGACAGGGGACTCACCACCAGCTCCATGCAGCTCAGCACCTCTCCCTGCTCATCCAGCATGCTCTGGTAATTGGGTTTGGTGCTGAGCACCTCGGCCTGCGATGTCTGCAGGTAATTGGGAGGCTCTTCCCGGCCCTGTTTGCTCCTGCACTCCTCCAGCTGCCTGGAAGACAAAGCATTTATCCGTTGCACAAAGGACAATTCTGTTGTTGTTCTTTTTTAGTTTTTCCATCCAAAGGTTTTGCCACAATTCGTACCTGGATGTTTCCTCTGCATCCTTCTGGTAGCGCTGCAGGAGTTCATCCCACGCCTGGCATTCAGCTGAAAACCTACAGGGCAGAAAGCATTGCTGGCACCATGGAAGGAAGGGATGCCTCCAAAAGTTGAGCCTGGGTGAATCTAATGAGGTTCAACACAGGAAGATGCAGTTTTGCATTTGGGAGAGAGGAATCCCAGGTGCAGAGTGAGAGGAGCAGTTCTGGAGAGCAGCCCTGAGGGATCCAGGGGGTGAAAAGCTGAACGTGAGGCAGCAGTGTGTGATTACAGCTTGGAAAGCAAATGGGATCCTGGGATGGGGGATGGAAAGGGGGTCAATTCCACTGCTCTGCCCTTGTGAGGCCTCATCTGGAGTATTGCAGCCAGGTGTGGGGGTCTGAATGCAAAACAAAGCTGTTGGAGAGGAAGGGCACTGAGATGGGCAGAGGCTGCAGCAGCTCCCATACGCAGACAAGCTGAGGGAGCTGGGTTTATTCAGCCTGGAGAAGAGGAGGCTGCTCTTCAGTGCAGCTTTCCAGTACCTGGAGGAAGCCTATAAACAGGTGGGGAGTCGAGTCTTTGAGAGGGTGGATAACAGCAGGACCAGGGGAAATGGTTTGAAGCTGAAGGAGGGCAGATTGAGGTCGGATGTCAGGGGAAAGTATTTTACTATGAGAGCAGTGAGGTGCTGGAACAGCTGCACAGCAAGGCTGTGGGTGCCCCAGCCAGCCCTGGATTCAAGGCCAGGTTGGATGGGCCCTGGGCAGCCTGGTGCAGTGTTTGATACGGAGGTTGGTGGCCTTGCATGCAGCAGGGGGGGTTGGAGCTTCGTGATCCTCAAGGTCCCTTCCAACCCAAGCCATCCTATGGTTCTATGAAGAACAAGAGTGGGTCTGCATGCAGCAGGAATCCCCTCTGTGGGGTTTAAACTGCAACACACAGCAGGAATCCCCTCTGTGGGGTTTAAATTGCAGCATGCAGCAGGAATCCCCTCTGTGGGGTTTAAATTGCAACACGCAGCAGGAATCCCCTCTGTGGGGTTTAAATTGCAACACACAGCAGGAATCCCCTCTGTGGGGTTTAAATTGCAACATGCAGCAGGAATCCCCTCTGTGGGGTTTAAACTGCAACACACAGCAGGAATCCCCTCTGTGGGGTTTAAACTGCAACACACAGCAGGAATCCCCTCTGTGGGGTTTAAACTGCAACATCCAGCAGGAATCCCCTATGTGGGGTTTAAATTGTAACACACAGCAGAAATCCCCTCTGTGGGGCTTAAACTGCAACACACAGCAGGAATCCCCTCTGTGGGGTTTAAATTGCAACATGCAGCAGGAATCCCCTCTGTAGGGTTTAAATTGCAACGCAGGCACACGGAAAGTGAACTGCAGAGAAATAACCCACCAAAAAACCCCTGCCTTTTAGAAAGGCAGGAAAATCAGCAGCCCTCACCTGGCAATGCACTCCTTTGCTTTGCACACCGATTCATCCGAAACAGAGTCCGAGGGATCCCTGAAGCAGAGATGCAGAGAGATGGAAGCGTTTGTGCATCACACACACAAACCCCACAGGGCTCTGCAAACGATTAAAACCGCACAGAGGCTTTTTTTTATCTTTTAGATCACCTCAAAAAAATAAATTAATATTCCCTTTAAATATCCACCGTGATGTTCCAGTATCGTCATCAGCCCCAAGATGCCTCGCTTACTGTTTGGGAACGGGATATTGAGGCAGGAAAGCCTGAAAAACAACAGATAGTGGCCTGGAAGTTCCTTACCCTTCAGCTTTCTCCACGCAGCCCTGCAGGGTTCCATCCAGCTTCAGTTTCTCTATGTATCTCTTCAGGTCTTCTGAAACTGAACTCACTGGAGGTGGAAAACAGAGCCACGTGAGCAGCTCTTACACCAACTGCCTGCTAATTGCTGAAGAGCAGAGCAGAAAGCAGCTTGGTCCCTCGTCTGAAGGTGTTCAGCTGTCATTTGTGCTGATCTCTGGGATCGTTGCTTAATTAAACATCCCTCACAGAAACTGAGGCATCCCTCAGGTGATTCCAACAACGCCGGATCCTTCTTCCCCAAGCCAGCAGATCTCACCTTAACAGCACCCCAATGGAAAGCTGTGCTTTTCACCTCTTTTATAACACACAAAAACCACAAACTCACCGTTGGCTTTAAAAGCCTCGGGACTGAAGCCTTCTGTCTGCTCCAAGATGTGCTCGAGTTTCTGCGCAGAGAACTACGACAACACAGAGATTTCATCACCCCAAAGCTGTTTGTGCTGCGGGACCCCAGGAAAGCTTGAAATTTAACTGTGTGTTTGTAGGAAGATTCGTTACTGAAGGAGAAATTAATTCCTCTTTTCTGATCCCAATTCTACAGAGCTGAACATAAATGGAAGGTCAGAAAAATATCGTGCTTGGGCAACAGGGGGGGGCTGACCTGGAAGCTGGATAAGAGCAGCATAGAGAGGCGTTCTGTTTCTGGCAGGTCCAGGCTGATAGCTTGGCTCAGTGCTGAAAAACGAGAACAAAATTACTGAGGAATGAGTTGACACCAATCCACGAGCACTGAAATGCTCTCAGAAGACACCAAAAATGGGTTTTGTTAGAGGTGAGGGGCGCGGGAGGGGAAAGAGGAAGGGAGATTTCCTAAGAGGGCAAATTCAATTTGAAGTTCAGGTCCTGAAAGAAAGAGGAAGCAAATGTTGGCTCACGGAAGCCCTTAACAAACTCATGGGAGAAGGGCTTCAAGGCGAAGGAGATTTAGGGGGGGGAAATGCTTCACCCAGATGGAGCTCAGGAGCTGGCAGTGCTGTGGGAGCCCCATCCCTGCCCAAGGCTCTGTGACCTTTAAGGACCTTTTCAAACCAAACCATTCTCTGCTTCCATGACCTTTAAGGACCCTTCCAACCCAACCCATTCTAGAATTCTCTGGTTCTACGACCTTTAAGGACCCTTCCAACCCAACCCATTCTAGAATTCTCTGCTTCCACGACCTTTAAGGACCCTTCCAACTCAACCCATTCTAGAATTCTCTGCTTCCACGACCTTTAAGGACCCTTCCAACCCAACCCATTCTAGAATTCTCTGCTTCCATGACCTTTAAGGACCCTTCCAACCCAACCCATTCTAGAATTCTCTGGTTCTACGACCTTTAAGGACCCTTCCAACCCAACCCATTCTAGAATTCTCTGCTTCCACGACCTTTAAGGACCCTTCCAACTCAACCCATTCTAGAATTCTCTGCTTCCACGACCTTTAAGGACCCTTCCAACCCAACCCATTCTAGAATTCTCTGCTTCCATGACCTTTAAGGACCCTTCCAACCCAACCCATTTAGAATTCTCTGGTTCTACGACCTTTAAGGACCCTTCCAACCCAACCCATTCTAGAATCTCTGCTTTCATGACCTTTAAGGACCCTTCCAACCCAACCCATTTAGAATTCTCTGGTTCTATGACCTTTAAGGACCCTTCCAACCCAACCCATTCTAGAATTCTCTGCTTCCATGACCTTTAAGGACCCTTCCAACCCAACCCATTCCATGGCTCCATAACCTTTAGGGTTCCTTCCAACCCAAACCATTCTGTGGTTCTATGACTTTTAAAGACCCTTCCAACCCATCCTACGGTTCTCAAGAGACTTTGACAAAGGCAGAACAGCACCTACCTGTAACATCCTCATGAAAAGGAGGCAGAGATTTCCGGCGTTTCGTCCCCTTCAGGCTCGACCGACGCCAAGAGCGGCGTTTGGTTTGAGAACTGCTGGTGTTTTGGCTTTTCTCAGGACTTGGGCTCTTACGAGATGTTTTTCCTTCAGCTGCTTCAGGAGTAACATTCTCCTGACTTACAGCAGCAAGGTCAGTTGGCTTTGGAGGTTCCTCAAGATCTTTCTTCTCTCCAGGGTGAGGTTCTGTGAAAAGCATGCATAATCAACATTTAAGTGTTAAAGAACCATTGAATATCCTTAATTAGAAGAATCCCACAAGGATCGCAGAATCATCAGGGTGGGAAGCGACCTTTGGGGATTACTGAATCCAACACACCTCAGCCCCATCCCTGCCAAAACCAGTTCCCTACAGCAGATTGAGCATTAAAGCGTTCAGGTGGGTCTGAATATCCCCAAGGAATGAGACAGCCCCGGTTCAGGGCCACCCTCACAACACAGGAGTTCCCTCACTCACACCTACCTGGAGCACCCCCATCTGCTGTAAGGAAGGATCCGGTGAGAGAAGTCTGTGGGAAGAACATTTCTGCAGGCACTAAGGGGCTTGAAGTGAGATGGCCCCCACTGTTCCCCCAGGCTCTGAGCCCCCAGAACCCCCTCAATCCCCCCCCATTCCTCTCAAACTCCCCCAGTCTGCCTCCTCACATCAGACCTGAGGGCCCCTCAGACCCCCCCCAGGCCCCTTAAGAGGGCCCTAAGGCCCCTCCAGCCCCCCCTCCGACTCCTCACACAGGCCCTGAGATCCCTCAGACCCTCCCAGCCCCCTCAGAGGCCCTGAGGGATCCTCAAATCCCCTCACCCTCCTCACACAGGCCCCAAAGCCCCCTCAGAGAGGCCCCAAACCCCCTCAGACCCTCCCAGCCCCTTTAAGAGGCCTCAAGGCCCTCTCAGACCACCCGAATCCCCTCTGCCTTCTCACACAGGCCCCAAGGGCCCCTCAGATCCCCCCCCAGCCCCCTCAAAAAGACACCAATGCCCCCTCAGACCCTGCCATCCCCCCTCATTCTCCTCACACCGGGCCGAACCATCAGACCGCCCCATCCCGCTCCGAGAAGCTCCGACAAGTTCCGAGGCCCCCTCAGACCCTCCCATTCCCCCTCATCCTCCTCACACAGGCCCCGAGGCCCCCTCAGACCCCCGAGCCCCCTCACACAGGCCCCGAGTCCCCCGCCCACCTCTCACCTCCAGCCCCGCCGCTCTCTGCCGCCTCTCCTCGGACCTGCAAGAAGCTTTCGGTCGGGTTACGGCAACCGGACCCCCTCTTCCACCCCCTCCATCCCCGACCCACAGCATCACTTACCGGAGCCGACGGCATCCCTCCGAACGCGCCTCCATGGCGACTTCCCGCGCGGGAGCGACCGTTGCGCGCAGTGCACGCCGGGAAATGGCGGCGCCCTGTGAGGAGTGAGCATGCGCACAGGAGAGACCAGGGCTGAGCGCATGCGCACAAAACACCGCGACAGTGAATGCGCATGCCCACAAAGCGGCATAGCTCTGCGCATGCGTCCCGTGGTAGCGCGCATGCGCGCACCGCGCCTCCATCCATCTCGCGCATACGCAGTAGATTCGTCACGCCCCCCCCCCGGTGCCCGCAGCGGGAGAGAACAAAAGTAATAAAAATATCCACAAAAAAAAAAAAAAAAAAAAAAAAAAAAAGGCTTTGGAAGTTTATTATCTTTGATAAAACCTCGCCTGAAAGAGGAGGGCTTTACGTGTTAACAGCGGTGGGAATGCACAAAAAACGGGGGGGGGGGGAGGGGGGAGAGGGGAGGAGGTTTAAGCCGCGTTCTGCTCAATGAGCTCAGCGTGGGTAAGAAAAGCTGATTTTCCTCTACAAAATTACAACAGCGAGGGTTTAAACGCCTACAGTTACAATACGAGGGGTTAATCGTTAGCATCTATCAGCTCAAACGCAAATCTCGTCATAAAAAACTTTGTGGAAATTAAAATAAGTCCTTTTTTTTTTTTTTTTCCTGGTTTTCTTCTAGAAGAGACACTGAGTTTCTTACCATAAAATTGATATTAAAAACAAAAAAAAAAAAAAAAAAAGAAAGAAAAAGAAAACCAACCCCAAATTTGGTTAGGAAGAAGGAAGCAAGTTCTTCGAGAACAATTTCACATCCCATAATAAGTAAAAAGAACTCAGCTGAGAGGTAGAGAGGTGTCGTAATCATCATCACAATCTTCTATTGGTTCCAGGGTTTGGCTGAGGTAATTAGCTGTGTGTCACGTTAAGAGTATTGGCGAAAAGAGCAACACTGACAAATTACACTAATGACCTCTTTCCTCTCATCGGTAGGGTCCTAACGACTTAATTGGACGCGTCGGAATTAACGCTGCCGGGATCTCCGGCGGGTGAGGTGATGGATGAAGGGGTGGTCGCGTCCTGCCAGCTGCCATTCGCCTGTGGGTGAAGCAGATGGTTCTGTTAGAAATGGAGTCACAGAACACGGCTGACCCTTCCCCCCAAACACTTCACAGTGACCTGCAAGGACCTGTTGAACCTGACCAACACACAGTCGATCTGTAAGGACCCTTTCCCCCCAAACACTTCACAGTGACCTGCAAGGACCTGTTGAACCTGACCAACCCACAGTCGATCTGTAAGGACCCTTTCCCCCCAAACACTTCACAGTGACCTGCAAGGACCTGTTGAACCTGACCAACCCACAGTCGATCTGTAAGGACCCTTTCCCCCCCAACACTTCACAGTGACCTGCAAGGACCTGTTGAACCTGACCAACCCACAGTCGATCTGTAAGGACCCTTTCCCCCCAAACACTTCACAGTGACCTGCAAGGACCTGTTGAACCTGACCAACCCGCAGTCGATCTGTAAGGACCCTTTCCCCCCAAACACTTCACAGTGACCTGCAAGGACCTGTTGAACCTGACCAACCCACAGTCGATCTGTAAGGACCCTTTCCCCCCAAACACTTCACAGTGACCTGCAAGGACCTGTTGAACCTGATCAACCCACAGTCGATCTGCAAGGACCCTTCCACCCCAAACACTTCACAGTGACCTGTAAGGATCTTCTGAACCCAACCAATCCACAGCTGACCTGTAAAGACCCTTAGAACCCAACTGCTCCACAACTGACCTGTAAGGACCTTTTGAATCCTACCACTCCACGACTGACCTGTAAGGATCCTTTGAACCCAACCACTCCACAGCTGACCTGTAAGGACCCTTAGAACCCAACTGCTCCACAACTGACCTGTAAGGACCTTTTGAATCCTACCACTCCACGACTGACCTGAAAGGACCCTTTTGAACCCAATTACACCACAGTTGACCTGTAAGGATCCTTTGAACTCATCCACATTTGACCTGTAAGGACCCACTGAAGCTGACCAATCCACAGTTGACCTGTAAGGACCCTCTGAGCCCAATTACTCCACAGTTGACCTGTAAGGATCCTGTGAACCCAACCACTCCACAGCTGACCTGTAAGGACCTTTCCACCCCAACTGCTCCCTGGTTGAGCTGTAAAGACCCTCTGAACCCAACCACTCCACAACTGACCTGTAAGGACCCTCTGAACCCAACCACTCCACAGTTGACCTGTAAGGACCTTTCCACCCCAACTGCTCCCTGGTTGACCTGTAAGGACCCTCTGAACCCAATCACTCCACAGCTGACCTGTAAGGACCCTCTGAACCCAATTACTCCACAGCTGACCTGTAAGGACCTTTCCACCCCAACTGCTCCCTGGTTGACCTGTAAGGACCCTCTGAACCCAACCACTCCACAGCTGACCTGTAAGGACCCTCTGAACCCAACCACTCCACAGCTGACCTGTAAGGACCCTCTGAACCCAACCACTCCACAGCTGACCTGTAAGGACCCTTTGAACAACTACTCTGGACTATGTCCTCAATACACAAGTTTTTTTGGGAACCAAAGCCAAAGGTTTCAGCCTTAAGTATCTCTCTTCCACCTTTTTCCTATCCCAGCAGCAGAGATCTCAGTGCGTAGGAACTTCGTTAGGACTGATTCACAAATGATTACTGAGAACCAAACAGAGATGGGATCAATTAAAACTTTGGGACATCTTACGTCGATGCGCTGCGTCGTGTACAAAGGATTCCCCACAATGGTGTCGTATCTTCCTGCCTGGTGTATGACATGGTGCAAGGAATCCATCTGCAACAAGATCCCACGGAATGACACCAATGAGGGGAGGAAAAAAATAATGGTAAGGCAAAAAAAAAAATCATAGCGCGAGCGGGATGTGCTCGTTTTGTTTAAAATAATTGTAAATCAGTGCCGTTAACACGGCAGCACCCCGTCAAGTTCTGCTTATACAGAGCAAGACGAGCTCTCAAACGAGCCAGCACCAATTTGTTGGTGTAAATCTGAAGGATGGAAGGATGGCAATGGGCCAATCCTGAGTTTGATTTCAACAAAAAAATAACACATAGATTTCAATGGGTTTGTGCCACAAGTCTGACTCGAAAGAGAAGAAAAAAATAATCATCTTTATCTGATATTAAGAGAAACTGCTTTAATAATAATAATAATAATGATGATGATGATGATGATGAAATAACCTGCTCACCTGTGACTGCACATTGCCTCCCACCGGGGAGCTCTGGTAGGAGGTCAACGACTGCAAATTTATGAAGGAATCTCCGGAATTGGTCATCTTAAAAGAGCCAGAGGAAGCTGAATCACAACGAAACGAAGAAACGAAAGAAAAATCAGTGCAAAAACGTGTATTTTCAATTCTGTGAGCATTTCCAACCATTCATGGCGCTCATCGTCACGGGAAGGAATTGGAGACTTCCAAAGCTCTCTCCCTTACCCGAATTTGGTGTCGATGGGGAGTTTGCCCGGTTGCCCTGAGCCACGACATTGGTTGCATCCACTGCCGTTTTCGCAGCATAAATGTTGGCTTCTTCTTGGAACTTCCCCATGTTCTTCTTGTACCGAATCCTTTTGTTACCAAACCAGTTGGAAACCTGGAGATTTACAGCCCTGTTACCATTCAAACCATTCCATTACCCGTTACGTTGACGACTCAGCAGCAAAAATAACGTTTTATAGTAGGGCTCAAACCAACAAAAAAACACCAAAACCCTTTGGAACAACATAAATGTTCTTTGTTTTCTTTTAGTACCGACAACTGAAACCTATTGCTGGCTACAGGGGACAACCCAACAGAACTCAGGTGTGTTTATATCAGGTCTGAGATCCACTCTCACGTTCATCTGTCACCAAGCCATTGCTGTTTCCTTCCCAGCTGTCCTTGACGTTGTCTGTCTGTAGGTTTTCCCCATTTTTCCTTGCATTTCTTCTCACCTTCACCTGACTGAGAACAGTTTTCCACCCATCAGCCCCTGGCTCTTGGAACACCGCTTCGAGTTCCCCTTGGCTCGCTTGTTTTTGTGCCCCTAAAGCACAGTTTGCTCACAGGGCATCTCCTAGACGAATCCAGGGCTAGTTTTCATGGAACCACTGAATCACTGGGAGTTGGATGGGGACCCTTTGCAGCCACTCGGTCCACCCTAACGGCCTTTCCCAACCTTAATGCCTCAAGGAAAGAAACGACGACTCCCGATCAACGGCTTCATACCTGCGAAACGGTGATGCCACCCTTCTTTGCCAGCTCCTCTTTGGCCTCTTCGCTGGGGTAAGGATTGCTCAGGTGCGAATAGAAATACTCATTCAGCACTTCTGTTGCCTGCTTGCTGAAGTTACGCCGCTTACGTCTGTGAAAAATCACAATTATTCCTACCTGCGCGGCCGTGGGCCTGCTCTAAAGTACATCTGCTTTGAGGAAGAATACATTTATATCCTTTGAGGAAGAATATATTTAATTCCACGCGGTTTTAATATGTTTACGTCAAGGTAAGTAAGCTCGGCGTGAATGACAACCCATCAGATGTTAACACTGAAACTGACAGCAGTGGGAATGAGGTTTCCTATGCGATTACTGGCACTGAGCAATAATTAAAGCCTCTTTTCGTCACACAGAATCACAGAATCACAGAATCACCCGGGTTGGAAGGGACCTCAAGGATCACGCAGTTCCAACCCCCTGCCCAGCAGGGCCACCAAACATCCACATTCACATCAGGTTGCCCAGGACCCCGTCCAACCTGGCCTTGAACACGGCCAAGGACGGGGCATCACAACCTCCCTGGGCTGCCCGTTCCAGGGCCCAACCGCTCTCCTGTTAAAGAACTTCCCCCTAACATCCAACCGAAATCTTCCCTCCTTCAACTTGGACCCCATAGGACACCCATAGGCCACCCAGTGACCCCATAGAGCACTCCCTGACCCCATAGGCCACCCAGTGACCCCATAGAGCACCCCCTGACCCCACAGGCCACCCAGTGACCCCACAGGCCACCCCCTGACCCCATAGAGCACCCACTGACCCCAACTTCCCCCTAACATCCAACCTCAATTTTCCCTCCCTCAACTTGGATCCATTTCCCCTCGTCCTGCTGTTCTCAGCCCTTTGGAAGAGTTGACTCCCCTCCTGGCTGTAGGTTCCCTTCAGGTATCGATAGGCTGCCATGAGGTCACCCCGCAGCTTCTCTTCTCCAGGCTGAACAAAGCCCAACTCCCTCAGCCTGTCCTCATAGGGGAGGTGCTGCAGCCCCCTGCTCATCTCAGTCGCCCTCCTCTGGACCCTTTCCAACATCTCTCTGTCTTTCTTGTCCTGAGGGCTCCACACCTGGACACAGGACTCCAGATGGGGCCTCACGAGAGCCGAGCAGAGAGGGACGATCACCTCCCTGTCCCTGCTGACCACCCCTCTGCTGATGGAGCCCAGGATCCCATTTGCCTTTCGAGCTGCCAGAGTGCACTGCTGGCTCACGTTAAGGTCGTACCTTGCATCGAGGAAGCGCGAGCGGAGGATCATCACCGCCTCGCACGTGCTCTGCTTCAGCTGCATCTGGATGGTGCTGAATTTGCCGTGGATGATGTTCACCATCCGTTCGATTTCTTTGGGAGAAATGGGTCTGGTCCGGCTCTGTTCCCTGAGCAGGTTCATGACGTGGGTGGTGAACTCGCTGCAGGCCTGAAAATAAAGATATTTGTATCGAGAAACGATGAAACACCCCCTAAATGAATTCCCCCCAACAAGAGTACATATCCAAACAAAACAAAACAAAACAGAAAACAAAACAGAGGACTTTTCACGTTTCAGCTTTATCTGTATTTACTCTTAAAAACACTGTAACAAAGATAAACGAGACATTAATTATCTTGATGTCCAGTCCCTCTATTCCACCTTAATTCTGTAGAGGTAACGAATATCATCTTTACTTTGACGTCCCTCTATTTCATCTCATTCCTGCAACGCTGAGATAAGCTCCCAAACAAATGTGACACAACCTCGCGTCGAACTGAACTCATTTACACCTCCTGCTCCGTCCTTAAAACCAACACCGAAGGAAAAAATAATGATAATAATAATAATAATAATTAAAAAAAAAAAAAAAGGGGGGTTATTTTCAATTGAGATGATAAAAACTCTTCCATGCAGAAAGATCACCTGTTCATATTTCTCTAGCTCAGAGTGGTAAATCTGTCGGATCTGTGACAGCTTGGCCCTGTAGTCAGAGTGCTCAATGCTATTGTCATTTGGACAGCCACCTGGTGTTGCTGCTACAGCCATCGGTGCTCCTCTTCCTCTTTTCTCGGGGCCGGAGACGCCCTCCGCCAGCAACATGTTATCTAGTCTCATTAGTTGGGCATCGGGGGGGTCTTCTTCCTGAATACCACGAATACTTAACACTGGGTAGATATAAAGAGGGAATCAGAAGGTTATTTCCGGGACGGGGAAGAGAGTCTGCTTCAGTGGTAGAGCATTTAAAGACCAGGCTTCTATCTCCAGGTCGAGGAAAGAAGGAGAGTTTAATGAAGGCATGGTGCAGTACGTACAGAGAAAACGTGGGTCAGAGGGAGAAACGGGGAACACCTTAAAGATATAAAAAGAAATAATCGTGGAATGGGGTTGGGTTGGCTTGGGAGGGTCCTTAAAGATCAAAGACAGACTATGGGAGGTGGATGAGATGCCTGAGCCGCTACAGCCGCCGTATCTCAGTGTCTGGGGTTGAAAAGAACGCCACGCAGATGTGGGATCGTGCTGAATTCCATACCTGAGGGCTGCTTACTTAAGGTGCCTGGTGTGCCAAGGGTGCAATTACACCACTGCCAGGCAGAGGCTACTCCATCACCAACGATAGGCCACACTGCTCCAGCAAAAGGCCTCACCACCAGCCTACACCACCAAGAAGTATTGACAGCACCACGTTTTGCCCTGTTAAAACCTCGAAACCTGAAACAACCTGATGAAATCAGACCCAAATCCACTGTCGTTACGCTGACACTCAACGGGATCCGCGCTCGGATCATCCGCCTTCGATTCCAAGCAAATCTGATTCAGAATATTTAAATCCCAATTTTTGACAATTTACTGTTCGCTCCTGAAAGAACAGATGAACAAACAAACAAAAGACCCTCGAAATATACTGAGTTCAAGAAACACCAGGAGCTTTCTGGCTTTTAATTGGATTTTAACTGTAAGGCAATTTAATGAGTAGTGGATTGGATTCAGGAGCGAATCTCTGCTGGTAACACAGTGATGCACACCAGATCCAAAGTGACCAAAGCAATATTCCAAAGCCATCCGACAACACAGAACTGTGGGAGAACAGAATGGGTTGGGTTGGATGGATCCTTAAAGATCAGAGAACTATGGAATGGGGTTTGGTTGGGTTGGAAGGGTCTGTAAAGATCACAGAACCAGAGAATGGGTTGGGTTGGAAGGAACCTTAAAGATAAAAAACAACAATAATCATGGAATGGGGTTGGGTTGGGTTGGAAGGGTCCTTAAAGATCAAAGAACCACAAAATGGGTTGGGTTAAAAGAAACCTTAAAGACCACAGAACCATAGAATGGGTTGGGATGGAAGGGTCCTTAAAGATTGCAGAACTGTGGAATGGGGTTGGGTTGGAAGGGTCCTTAAAGATCACAGAACCACAGAATGAGGTTGGGTTAAAAGAAAGCTTAAAGACCACAGAACCATAGAATGGGTTGGGTTGGAAGGGTCCTTAAAGACCACAGAACCATACAATGGGTTGGGTTGGAAGGGTCTTTGAAGATCACAGAACCAAACAATGGGTTGGGTTGGAAGGGTCCTTAAAGATCACAGAACCAAACAATGGGTTGGGTTGGAAGGGTCCTTAAAGATCACAGAACCATACAATGGATTGGAAAGGTCCTTAAAGATTACAGAACCGTAAAATGGGGTTGGGTTGGGTTAGAAAGGTCCTTAAAGATCACAGAAGCACAGTTGGGTTGGAAGGGACCCCAAAGCCCCCCCCAGAACAACACTCCTCACTCTGACAGAGCTCACGTGGAACTATTGGGGCTGGGAAGGGTCGGTGGAAGAGGTGTTTGGGTTCCCATCTCCTTACACACATCGTGATGCACGTCAGCACACCTCATGTTGGAGTTGAGCTCCCAGCTGCAGCTTAATTTTATGTCACCCGTCTAATGACGGTAATTAGACATCCGTTATCATCAATTACGCATCAGCTCATCTCAAGTCAACTGCTGAATAAAGCGCCCCCACAACCTCAAGGGAAGAATCTGGTCGGCTGGGGTTAGCAAGAAACTAGAGAGGAGTTAATTAGCATTAATGAGTTGCACTTTCCACCCCGTAGCTCATCCCAGCAAGTTCATCGCTACTGAAGAAACTCACGGACCATAAAACTCACTGGTTCTCTTTACACACAAGAAAACACGAATTCCCCATTTTCCTGCACATCCCCTACTGATATCTGTCAAATATGCAAAACCATTATCCTAAGTGACGTGAAATTCCCGTCGTTTCTAATTAATCCTTAATCAAACCACGACGCAGCCTAAGGTGTTGAAGCCTCAGTATGCAAATGCAATCACGGCCATATATTTTGCATGTCGTTAATTAAGAGGTTCGTGGTTCTGTAATGAGGTTAGCGGTACCAAAATAAGCGGTGCGCGCTCGGCTGTGAGTTTTGTTGTTGTTTTTGGTGGTTTTTTTTCCCCACCCTTTGCAGATTTTCCTTCATGGAGCAAATAATGCAGAAAAGCAACGTGAATGCAGCCATTGGATGCACGTTTGTTGGCTTCACCTTCGTAGACGGGCATTTTAGGGCCAGAATTGAACCATTTGTACCATCCACACTATCCAAATAGTGCGGCCAGCAGGAGCAGGGAGGTGAGCATCCCCCTCTACTCAGCACTGGTGAGGCAGCACCTCGAGTGCTGTGTCCAGTTTTGGGCCCCTCACTACAAGAAAGACATGGAGGGCCTGGAACGTGGTCAAAGGAGGGCAATGAAATGGTGAGGGGTCTGGAGCACAGGGCTGATGAGGAGAGGCTGAAGGAGCTGGGAATGTTCAGCCTGGAGAAGAGGAGCTCAGGGGAGACCTCACTGCTCTCTATGGCTGCCTGAAGGGAGGCTGCAGGGAGCTGGGGGTCGGCCTCTGCTCTCGTGCCATCAGGGATAGGAGCAGAGGGAACGGCTTCAAGCTACGGCAGGGGAGATTCAGGCTGGACATGAGGAAGAATTGCTGTTCAGAAAGGGTGGTCAGGCACTGGAATGGATGCACAGGGAGGTGGAGGAGGCACCGAGCCTGGGGGTGTTGAAGGAAAGGCTGGATGTTGTGCTGAGGGACGTGGTTCAGTGGGAGCTGTTGGTAAGAGGTGAGCGGTTGGACTGGGGGAGCTTTGAGGTCTTTTCCAACCTTGGTGACTCTATGATTCTATGACTTCCAAATAAGCACCAATAAGGCGTCGTGAAAAGCAGCAGAAGTCATAGAAACCATTGGGAAAACGTGGGCTGTGGTGAACAACAGCAAAACTGGAGGTGGGGTGGTATTTTTGGGGAGGGGAAAGCGGTGTTTTGGGGGGCAAATTAGGAGCGGAAATGACAGCGACTCACCTGTTTTCTCCTTGATCTCGCAGAGCACGCTGAACAGAGCAGGCTTCATCCTGTGGCAGTTCAGGGCGTGTTTCCTGCAGGGAAAAAAAATAGCAGAAATTCTGTACAAAAAGGAGGAAAAAGCGCTTAGTTTTGCTGCAGGGAGAACCTAAAGAGGAAGAACAACACGGAACGCAACCCAGAACACAACCCAGAACACAAAACTGTTCAGGGCACAGCTGGAAAACACGTGGAACACAGCTGGGAACTATAAAGGACACAGCAGGAAAACAGCCTGGAACACAGCTGGAATTGATGTGGGACACAGTTGGGACCAGCCTGGAACACAGCTGGAAATTATATGGGACACAGCTGGGACCAACCTGGAACACAGCTGGAATTGATATGGGACACAGCTGGGACCAACCTGGAACACAACTGGAAACCATACAGGACACAGAACCAATACAGAACACGGCCAGAAACAACCTGGAAAACAGCTGAAAACCATACAGGACACAGACCAAAACCTTATAGACACAGCCAGAACCAACATGGAACACAGCTGGAACCCAATTTAGGACACAGCATGAAAGCAACCTGGAACACAGCTGGAATCAATACAGGACACAGACCAAGACAGTAAGGGACACAACCAGATTCAATGCAGAACGTAGCCTGAAACCATATAGGACACAGCTGGAACCAACCTGGAACACAGCTGGAATCAATATAGGACACAGACCAAGACCATATAGGACACAGCTAGACTCAATACAGAACAGGGCTAGAACCAATATGGAACACAGCCAGAACCAACCTGGTACATAGCTGGAAACTATATAGGACATAGCCTGAAACCATATAGGACACAGCTGGAACCAACCTGGAACACAGCTGGAAACCATACAGGACATGGAACCAATACAGAACACAGCTAGAAGCAATCTGGAACACAGCTGGAATCGATATAGGACACAGCTGGAATCAATACAGGACACAGACCAAGACCATATAGGACACAGCTGGAACCAACCTGGAGCACAGCCGGAAACTACATAGGACATGGAACCAATACAGAATGCAGCCAGAAACAACCTGGAACACAGCTGAAAACTATGGAGGACACAGCTGGAACCAACCTGGAACACAGCTGGAAACCAATATATGACATGGATCCAAACCATACAGAACACAGCTGGAACCAACATGGAACACAGCTGGAATCAATACAGGCCACAGTTCAAAATCATGCAGAACACAGCTGGAACCAACCGGGAACGGAGCCGAAAACTACAGAGGACACAGCCAGAATGAACAGAGAACACAGCCAGAACCGACCTGGAACACAGCTGGAAACCATACGGAACACACAGATGGAAATTGGGACACAGCTGGAAGCAACCTGGAACAGTTAACAACTACATGGGACAAAGCCAGAACCAGTATGGAACCAAAGGATATCCCTAGCCAGACCATGGGGCCACCCTGTCGCGACAGTCCTGCCAGAACACAGCTGAGTAACCCCCACCCTATCGCGACAGTCCTGCCAGAACACAGCTGAGTAACCCCCACCCTGTCGCGACAGTCCTGCCAGAACACAGCTGGGTAACCCCCACCCTATCGCGACAGTCCTGCCAGAACACAGCTGAGTAACCCCCACCCTATCGCGACAGTCCTGCCAGAACACAGCTGAGTAACCCCCACCCTATCGCGACAGCCCTGACAGAACACAGCTGAGTCACAGCACTGGGCTGCAGGAACACAGAACTGGCATCAAACTGCCCCAAAACCCCGAACCAAACTCCCATCGTGGCCCAGAGTAGAGGTCAAGCTCCACAGCGTCCGTCTCCCCATCACCCTATCGCGATAGTCCCGACAGAACACAGCTGAGTCACAACACAGGGCTTTAGGAGAACTGAACCAATACCAAATCACCCCATATTCCTGACCCAAACTCCAATCGCTGTACCATGGCCCAGAGGGGAGGGCGGTCCAGCCCCACACCCCCTAGTTCTCATCCCATAGTCCCCTATCGTGACATTCCCGATAAAACACATCTGAATCACGAAACAGGGCTGCAGGAGCACAGAACCGGCACCAACATTCACAACCCAAACTCCCACCACAGTGCCGTGTCTCAAAAAGAGGGAGCAGAGGGGATCCAGCCCCACAGCCCCCAGCTCCCTATCGCGATAGTCCCGATAAAACACAGCTGAGTCACAACATGGGGCTGCAGGAGCATTGAACCGATACTGATATCCCTGACCCAAACTCCCACCACAGTGCTGTGTCTCAAAAAGGGGGGGGAGGGGGGCAGGGGTCCAGTCCCACAGCCCCCAGCTCCCATCACCCTATTGCGATAGCCCTGATAAAACACAGCTGAATCACGACATAGGGCTGCAGGAGCACCGAACCGCCACCGAACCGCCCCATATCCCCAGAACAGCCCCACATAAGGGGTCCCTTTGCCATACCACGGTCCAGAGGGGTGGGGGTCCATCCCTACAGCCCCCTCCCCCCACCCCCTCAGCTGCCGCTATTGGGCAGAACGAGACCCCCATTACCTCGCCTGGGCCTCATCCAAGCTCTGATCGGTGATGGCCATAATCTGCTGCAAAACGTCGCCCGTATCGTGAGGGGGAGGGGCCGGGGGGGGCACAGAGCTCGGATCCCCCGAAGTAGCGGTTGGGGCAGCGGGACCCCCGGGGGGGAGACCGCCCTGAAGGGCGACCCCGGCTCCGTGCGGTGCCATCAACCGCGAAGGGTCCTCCATGGCCGCCGATGGGGGAGCGCAGACAACAGGGCCCCGAAGCCACGCCCACCTCCCAAGCCACGCCCACCTCTCCCTCCACTCCCACCTCCCAGGCCACGCCCGCCTCCCCAGGCCACGCCTACCTTCCAGGCCACGCCCACCTTCCGGCCCGTGCCCACCTCTTCAGGCCACGCCCGCGTCCCAGGTCACGTCTACCTTCCAGACCACGCCCACTTCTCCGCTCACTCCCATCTCCCAGGCCACGCCCACCTCTCAGGCCACGCCCTCATCTCCTACCTGGCCACCCCCACAACGCCGAGACGCTCGCCGTCGTCTGGCCACGCCCACTTTCTGGCCACACCCATCATCGGCCAAAAAGCCACGCCCACTCCGCTGCTGGACGCGCCCGTCTCTAAAAACCACGCCCACTTTTTTTCTGGCCACGCCCACCGCTTCGGGATACGCCCGCGCATGACGTCATAACGGCGTCGGAATGGCGGGGGGGGGGGGGGGGGGGGTTAATGGGGGGGGGTTGATGGGGGGGATCGCAGGGGTTTCTGCGAGGGACGACGGGAGGGAACTCCTGCATCGCCAACGCGGCGATGGCGCTTGGAGGTTTAAGGAGTCGGGATGGAAAGGACCCCAAGTGATTGCTAAGGGGCAGAGGGATTGATAAGAGATGAAGGGATCGATAAGGGTGCCGAAAGATTGATAAGGGGCAAAGGGATTGATAAGAGATCAAGGGATTTATAAAGGATCGAGGGATTGATGAAGGGGTGAACAGATGGATAAGGGGCCAAAAGATTGATAAGAGACCAAGGAATTCATGAGCCATCAGAGGATTGATAAGGGATCGGGGGATTGATAAAGGGCCAGAGGGCTGATAAGGGATCAAGAAATTGATAAGGGGTCAAAGGATTGATAAGGGATCCAGGGCTGGAAGGGTCCTTGCAGGTTAACCAGGGAGTAATTGGGTTGGAAGGGTCCTTGAAGATCACCCTTAGAACCACAAGATCATATAAATGAGGTTGAAGGGACTCTGTGGGAGCCAATGGTCTTTTTGGCTTCCCTCCACCCCAACCCATCCTGTGATCCAGTGACTCTCGTCATCTATGTGGACTGAGCTGACGGAGCAAACGCTGCAGGGATTTACGGAGCATCAGAAGATTGGTGGCAGTGTTTGAAAAGTCTCCTAAGATTATGGGATGGAAATAAAGGAATCTTTTCCTAAACTCTTTCTGGAGGTCGCAGTCCCTCCAGGGTGCTCACAGAGACACTCCAGCAATCTGTCTCAAAAGCAGAGCAGCAAATCGCAATGGATGCAAGCATCCAGGTCAGTATTCATCCATTCCCCCTTCCATCCCTCCTTCCACCCCTCCTTCCTTACATCCCTTTATCCATCCCTTCTTCCATCCATCCCTCTTTCATTCATCCCTCCATTCCTCGTCCATCCATCCCTCCTTCCATCCCTCCCCCCTTCCATCCCTCCTTCCACCCCTCCTTCCTTACATCTCTTTATCCATCCTTTCTTCCATCCCTCTTTCCATCCATCCCTCCTTCCATCCCTCCATTCCTCCTCCTTCCATCCCTCCTTCCATTCCTCCCCCCTTCCATCCCTCCCTCTTTTCATCCATTCTCCACCTCTCCATCCCTCCCTCCATCCCTCCATCCCTCCCTCCCCCCTTCCATCCCTCCCTCTTTTCATCCATCCTCCACCTCTCCATCTCTCCCTACATCCCTCCCTCCATCCATCCCTCCATTCCTCCTCCTTCCATCCCTCCTTCCATTCCTCCCCCCTTCCATCCCTCCCTCTTTTCATCCATTCTCCACCTCTCCATCCCTCCCTTCATCCCTCCATCCCTCCCTCCCCCCTTCCATCCCTCCCTCTTTTCATCCATCCTCCACCTCTCCATCTCTCCCTCCATCCATCCCTCCTTCCTTCCATCCACCATGGCGCATGGCATCGCTGAGGAGAACTCACCCCACGTTTATGAATGGGCCCTTGATTTGTGAATGGCGCACGGCATCGCTGCAAATTCACTCCACGTTTAAGAATGGGCACTGAAGCTGTGAATGGCGTTTGGTATCGCTGAGAACTCATCCCACATTTATGAATGGGCCCTGGATTTGTGAATGGCGTTTGGTATCACTGAGAACTCACCACACATTTATGAATGGGCACGGAAGCTGTGAATGGCGCACGGCATCGCTGAGAAGAATTCACTCCACATTTATGAGTGGGCCCTGGATTTGTGAACGGCGCGTGGCATCGCTGAGAACTCATCACACATTTATGAATGGGCACTGAAGCTGTGAATGGCGTTTGGTATCGCTGAGAGCTCGCTCCACATTTATGAATGGGCACTGAAGTTATGAATGGTGCGAGGCATCGCTGAGCAGAACAGAAGCACGACAGCACCGCTCTCCATTTTAGGAACAAAGTGCCCCCCAAAAAAACCCCACAGTGCTCCGAAATTCCAGAACAGACACTCAGAGAGGGGGAATCTGCCGCTCCAGATGGAATTCGGGAACATTCCTCTCCAAAGAGACATTGAGAAGAATCCGTTCTTCTCCTGGAGAGGATGGAACACAACTTGGCTCACTTTGGGAATCACTCTGCAATGGGTTGAAGTGAAGAGTTCGGGTTTTTGGGGGCCACACAATCATTGGAAGAGCTGATTCTGAAGGTACTGCAGAACCCCCCCCCCCAAAAATAATAATAATAATAATAATAATAATACAGAGAGCTGCAGGTCACCCGTAGAAATCAACGCAGCTTTAGAAACAGCCTTTAATTAAGCACGCTAATTAACAAACCGCGCAGTGGTCCCTTATAAAAGCATCCTTTGAGGGGTGTTTGTGGGGATCCTCACCCCGCAGTGCAATGTCTCCCACCGGAGGGATTCCCCCTCCATTCCCACGGTCAGAAAACGAGCGCGGCCCCAACGTCTCAGATGGAGGAATCCACCGTGAAATGCCCATTGAGCGACAGCGACCCACGGTCAGCCCCGTTGGGTTTCACAGCCGTGGGGGTGTATTTGGGATTCCGATAGCAGATGGAGCAGAGGATCCTCCGGAAGGTGCTCCTCATCTCGTTGTCCCGATAGGAATAAACGATGGCGTTGATCAGGGAGTTGATCTCAGCCAACAGGAGGACGTATTTCTCCACGGCCAAAACGTTGCAGCTCTTACAACCCAACCCGTCCAACAGCAGCACCACCTGCCCGGGGGTCCAACAGATCAGGAAGGCACCTGCAGAGAGAGATGGACCCCCGTCCCCCGTTAGAGGAAAGGTGGTTCCTGCCCCAACCCTGGGGCTTCCCTCGGGGTGTTGGGTGGAATCGAAGGGTTTTCGGTTCGGGGAAAAAGAGGTGAATGGGGAAAGACGGCGTTGGGATTCACCCAGGGACACCTCGTAGGGGTGACTGATGGGATTGTGCTGTTTTAGGGTGGGGGAAAGGAGTGAAATGGGGAAACGTGGCCGTGCCTGGGTACATCCAATAAGGGTGAGCAATGGGATCGCTGTGTTTTAGGGTGGGGGAAAAGTGAGATGGGGAAGATACGGCTTCCTGCCCCGCTCCCCATAGGGATATGGGGTGAATTGTGGAGTTTTAGGGTGGGGGAAAAGAGTGAAAGGGGAGAAGATGGCTTCCTTAGATCCCTTCTCACCCCATAGATCTGTGGGTTCGTCCCTCAGCAGATCTCCTCCCTGCAACCCACGGGGGGATGGAGGGAGCACTGTAGTGACCCCCAACCCATGAGAAAATGCTGTTGTGACCCCACAACTCCTGGGGGGAAAGCAGGGGGCACTGCAGTGACATGGGGACATGGGGGGTGGGGGGTGCTGTAGTGACCCCGCAACCCCCAAGGGAACGCTGTAGTTACACCAAAACCCCTGGTGGGAAGGAGGGAGCTCTGTAGAGACCCCATAACTCCTGGGGGGAAGGAGAGAACACTGTAGTGACCCCCAGCCCCAGAAGGAGCTCTGTAGTGACCCCATAACCCCTGGGGGGAAAGAGAGAATGCTATAGAGATCCCCAGCCCCCGAGAGAACTGTGTAGTGACCCCCAAACCCTGGTGACAGAGGGTCACTGTAATGACCCCACAACCCCCCAAGGGAAGACTGCAGTGACCCCAACCCCCAAGGGAACGCTGTAGGGACCCCACAGCCTCTCAGGGAAAAGAGGGAGTGCCGGAACAGCCCCACAACCTCGGAGGGAATGTCAGTGAGCCGCGACCCCCCCAGCTCACCGAGGATGATGGTGACCGTCTTGACGAGGCCGACCACGGTCTCCCTGTAGCGCGGGTGGAAGGAGGTGTGCGCCGACATCCGCCCCATCTTCCTCTTGACGTAGATGAAGATGTGGGCGTAGACCACCGCCATGAGGAGGAAGACGAGGAGGTTGGAGATGGCCCAGAAGGTCAGGTAGCTGCGGCTGTAGAGCGGGGCCATGCTGGAGCACTCCTCCAGGGCGCACAGGCAGTGCCAACCGTAGGATGGGATCAACCCCAGCAGCAGAGCCGTGGCCCAGATGCAGAAGATGAGGATCATGACGCGTTGGTTGGACATCTTGCTGTGGAGCTGCATGGTCAGCACCGTCTGGTGCCTCTCCACCGCGATGGCCAAGAGGTTGACCACCGAAGCGGTCAGACTGGTGTCCAGGAGGCTCTGCCGGATAAACCAGGTCTTCAGGGAGAGTTCGGCCGTCCTCGGCCCCGTGTGGAACATGAGGAACATGTAAGCAATGCCAGCAAAGAGGTCGGCGGCTGCCAGGTTGCCCAGGAGGTAATAGATGGGGTAATGGAAGCGGCGGTTGATGATGATGGCGGCGATGACCAGGAGGTTGGTGAGGAGGACGATGAGGCTGACGGTGAGACCCAGGGCCACCACCAGGACATCTTTGGTCCTCCAGTAGGTGGTGAGCTCCTTCCGGCTGTTGTTGTAGAAGAAACCCACCGACTCGTTGTAGTAACAGTGCTTCATGGCCGCCGGCCTGGAAGGTGGGGGGAGAAAGTGGTGAGAGGGGGGGCAGGCGCGGGGGAACGGTGTGGTTGGGGGGTGGGGAGGGATGGGGGAAAGCTGACGAGTGGGGTGGGGTTCTGGGAGGTGGTAGAAATGTCAAAAGATTGGTTTGGAGGGGTCCTGGAAGGCTGTGGAACTATGGAATGGGTTGGAAGGGTCCTTAAAGGTCAAAGAACGTTAGAGTAGGTTGGAAGGGTCCTTAAAAAAAAAAATCACAGAGCCATAGAATGGGTTGGAAGAGTCCTTTAAGATCACAGAAGCATAGAATGGGTTGGGTTGGGAGGGTCCTTTAAGATCACAGAAGCATAGAATGGGTTGGGTTGGAAGGGTCCTTTAAGATCACAGAAGCATAGAATGGGTTGGGTTGGAAGGGTCCTTAAAGATCATAGAAGCATAGAATGGGTTGGGTTGGAAGGGTCCTTAAAGATCACAGAAGCACAGAATGGGTTGGGTTGGAAGGGTCCTTAAAGATCACAGAAGCACAGAATGGGTTGGAAGGGTCATTTACAACCATAGGAACATTGAATGGTTGGGTTGGAAGGGTCCTTAAAGGTCAGAGAACTTTAGAATTGGGTTGGAGGGGTCCTTAAAAAAACCACAGAACCACGGAGTGGATTGGAAGGGTCCTTAAAGGTCATAGAAGCATAAAATGAGTTGGGTTGAAAGGGTCCTTAAAGGTCATAGAAGCATAAAATGGGTTGGGTTGAAAGGGTCCTTAAAGGTCATAGAAGCATAGAATGGGTTGGGTTGGAAGGGTCCTGTAAGGGAGGTATAGAGCAGCGCACCCCAAAAAGGCCCCCATAAGAAGCCCCTCAGGGAGGAAACCACGTTGTGCAGCAGCACTGAGCGTCCCTACGGCCCAATCTGCAGAGTCACGGAACCACGGAACCTCACGGAACCTCACAGAACCTCACAGAACCTCACAGAACCTCACAGAACCTCACAGAACCTCACAGGACCATGGAACCAGAGATCCATGGAACCTCACAGAACCACAGAACCTCACAAACAGAACCTCACAGAGCCATGGAACCACAGAACCATGGAACCACAGAACCTCACAGAACCTCAGAATCATGGAACCTCATAGAACCTCACAGAACCATGGAGCCACAGAACTTCACAGAACCTCACGGAACCTCACAGAGCCTCACAGAGCCACAGAACCATGGAACCACAGAGCCATGGAACCACAGAACCACACAGAACCACAGACAGAACCAGAGAACCTCGCAGAACCACAGAACCTCACAGAACCTCACAGAACCGTGGAACCACAGAACTTCACAGAGCCATGGAATTACAG